TCTAACATAAGTATCTTTATTGTCCAGGTGGGTGAGGGCCAGATGGAGGGCGGTGGTGATGGCGTCATCTGTTGGGGCGGTAAGCGAATTGCAGGGGGTCCAGTGAGGGGGGCAGCAGGGTCTTGATGTGCCTCATGACGAGCCTCTCGAAGCACTTCATGATGATGGGTGTAAGTGCAACGGGACGGTAGTCATTGAAGCAGGACACTGAAGACTTCTTCAGTGAAGAAGTGAAGAAGTGAAAACATCTGCCAACTGGTCTGCACATCCCCTGAGCACCCTGCCAGGAATGTTGTCTGGTCCAGCAGCCTTTTGTGGCTTGACTCTGTGTAGAGTCTTCCTCACGTCGGCCGTGGTTAGACACAGCACCTGGTCATTGGGAGAAGGGGTGATCTTCCCTGCCGTCACGCCGTTCTGCGCCTCGAACCGAACGTAGAAGTCGTTCAGCGCATCTGGAAGGGAGGCATCACTGTCACAGGCAGATGGTGGTGTCGTGTAGTTTGTGATGTTCTGGATGCCCTGCCACATGCGCCGCGTGTCTCTGCTGGCCTTGAAGTGGTTGTGGATTCTCTGAGCGTGTGCGCGCTTCGCCTCTCTGATGGCCCGGGACAGTTTGGCCCTCGCTGTTCTTAGGGCCATCTTGTCGTCTGCTCTGAAGGCAGAGTCTCGGGTCCTCAGTAGCGCACGCACCTCTGCAGTCATCCACGGCTTCCGGTTGGAGCGTGAGGTGATGGTCTTGGAGACTGTGACATCATCAATGCACTTGCTGATATAGCTGGTCACTGATGTCGCGTATTCCTCCAAGTCAGTGAAGTCGCCGTCAGTTGCCGCTTCCCTGAACATGTGCCACTCATGTGCTGAGCAGTGGATCTCACTATGCTTTTGATTGTATCTGTACTTATACATAGATCTACCCTATGTTTTAGGACTTGGATTGATCCCTGGGTTGCACCTCTGAAAACTGCATTTGTTGTTAAAAAGGATAAACCAACAGCTGCCTATGGGAGAAAAGCAAGCCATTTTGAAGCTGAGAAAAGAAGGAAAAATCTAAACAGAGCCATTTGCACAAGCATTGGGCATAGTCAATATAACCATTTGGAATGTCCTGAAAAATAGAGGCCATACCACAAGATGCAAACCACTCATCAAAAAAAAGAAAACAAAGAGAATGAAAATTAAATGAAAGCTGAAATTCTGATCTATCTTCCCATATTTATCTTTTGATTTCAAACCCAGATGCCTTCAGTGTTTATCAAAAACAAAAGAATTGGCCTTGCTGTTCCAATACGTTCAGACTGGATGTATATATTCATGTTTTTTTTCTGACTTTATGGGATGTCTATTCTATTTTACATATATATAGAAGTTTCTGATGTAAGCAGATGGCTGTGAAAAAAAAGGAAATCTGTCTGAACTCGACATGTTCTCCAAGTCGCCACTTCTTTCTTTTTGTCACTGAAGATAAGCATCAAGTGTGTAAGTGCTGCTCCTCAGAGATAACTTTTTTCAACTATGGATGGTTTCTACAGCAAAGACCCTGATCTCTGTGTGTGTGTGTGTGTGTGTGTGTGTGTGTGTGTGTGTGTGTGTGTGTGTGTGTGTGTGTGTGTGTGTGTGTGTGTGTGTGTGTGTGTGTGTGTGTGTGTTTAGCGTCTTCAGTTCTGGCAGTGATCAAAAAATAGAATTCAAAATATTTACATAGGATTTCATGAAAAATATTTTAATTGAAAATAAATCAAGTTAATTCCATAGAAGGTAAAAGGTACCATATATTATTAAAATAAAATAATTTAATCTGATTCAATTTTTCTTCTTTTTTTTTTTTTTTACAATTTTTTTGGAAACCTTTTTTTGATTTTTGGCAAAAAAAAAAATAAATTTACGTTTTAAATGATTGAATGCTAAAGCATATGAGCTGAAATTTCTCATTTATTTTTAAAAGCTGATCAAATAAAAAATATTTAATATGCATTTAATATTCATGCCTTTTGCTAAGACAGACCCACCAAAAAATATACAGAATATGAAGTATGTAATTTTATTAATTGCTTAGAAGATAGAGAATACTGTATATTATGAAAACAAAATTGAAACTCAGTTTAATTATTTGCAGCCTATATTTTTTAGACTCAGTATAATTCTCTCAGTTTTAAATGATATATTTTTAAGTAATGTAAATACAAGTATATAAAAAGACATTGGTATGTAATTAAAATATATAAGTGATTTATAAATATGCATTATAATGTCAGGTTTAAATCATTTATCAGTCTTCTTCTTCTTCTTCTTCTTCTTCTCAATCGCATTACCTCATTGCCAGTTATTTGATTTGAATCCGATCAGTCGAGGTTTACATCAACTCAGGAGGGAAATGTAAGATATGAAAGTTTTTCTGGAAAAACTGGATTTTTGCTCCTGTAAGCAATTTACTAATAAATTTGTTCATATCCAGTGTGGTAAATGAGATGTACTGTGTGTATATAAATGAAAAAACACACCTTATGCAAACAGCAGATGTTGCAACATTCACTAGTGATAGTTACGTTGCTGCGCTGCAGTCAGGGTTGAGGATAATGACAGAATAGATGTAACTGAATAAAACTGGATGGACAAAAGGATGATGGCAAGGCTAAAATAACAGACATAACCCCACTATAAGTGCATATACAGAGCTACCTAACCTACCCAATAAAAAAAAAAATAAATAAATAAAAAGACAACCAAAACCCACACCCAAAACAAACGCAGCCAAGTGCTACACCCGGAGACTTGATATGTATACAAAATGTTTACAAAGATGACACTGTTTACACCAGACAACCAAAACCAGAGGGGGAAAAGCTAATCTCAGAAATCAAAAGCAAGCAATGGTTCATACAGTGAACAAAGTCAATCAAAATCAAAACACAACACAAAAAAGATTCATAATCGGATACGCACACTAGGCTGCTGACGTTCCCTCAGGTGGTGCTCTTTATATACGATCAGGTCGATGACGTAACCAGACCCTGGAAGTAACGTGGCAGCACCTGGACAGAGGACAGAACACAGATAAACACAGAAAATAGACAGAGCATAACAAAGCACATGAGGTTTTTTTTTGTCTTTTTGTAATTTGTACCACGTCAGACTATAATCCACACAGCACCTGCCCTAATTAACCAGACATGACCAGGAGACTTTTCTCTCTCGTGACATATGCAGCGCTGTCTATCTTCTAAAAATTATTCAGCTTCTCTTTGTACAGAGACAAGCTTTAATTATCTCATCTCAATGTCTACACAATTATTAGTCTTCAGTGTGATTAGTCAGGTCAGCCACCCGAGCTTTCAGCTTCGTTTTAGAGACGAGCAGAAGCACTAACATCTCCAGAACCCACTTGCTTGCTTCTTCCTTTTTATTTGTCAGGTCAATTACACACTGACCGCTATTATCCAAAACCCTGGAGGCACTGAGTTGTGCTGACTCAAAAAAAAAACATCATTTGGAAATTGTTAACAGTGTCAAGGCCTGAGTTTACAGTTTTCAAATACAATTTCCTTTCCATTGTCTCAAAGCAGATGTACAAAAATTCAAGTCATGACCCTGAATTTCTGGCCATGGTGGCAAATTGAAACTCCTTAAGAACTTTAGGAACCGAGACTTAAAATAAGAACCGGTCAGCAGATAGGAGGATTACAAATGAGATAAAAGGAGCTGAAAAACAGAGTGAAGATTCCTGAGATACATAGAACAAGGAGCACAAGGAGAACATGGAAGGTGACAAATGGGCTTGAAAATATTTGAATTTCACGCCGAGATTGGCAGCCAACAAATCAGAATGTGGAATTATCTAGAGCCTGTTTGTTCAGACTGGAACCTGAAACGTTTTACATTCATCTACATTTCAAACTCCAATCCAAATAAGTCGGGCTGTTAATATGTCCACACCGTCTGCGTTTTTCTGGTCCACCCCGAGTCCACAGAACAGGGGTCTAACAGCGGAAAGCTCTGTTTTTAGTCCTGTGGTGGAGATGCTGGATGGTCTCAGGAACGGAGGTCTGAGGGCTGTAGGAAGCTAAATTTTGTCACAGACTGTTGATGGATTATTTGGGGAGAGTGCTGAGAAGAGAACTGAGGTGGTAGTTGGAGATTTTGCAGAATTGAGTTGATGTGGTGGTTGAACTTCAATTCTGGATACAAAATAATGTCTAGATTTGTAAGAATATTGCACATATTGAGAATTATTGAATGTGGACCAAAATGCTTCTGGTCCATCATTCTTTGAAGCATGGTGATGGTAGTTTGTATTTAACTTTCCCATGAAATGTGTTGAGAGCAGTGATTTGATTCTGTATGTTGGTGTATTTCCTTTTGAATCAGGAAGTCAGACTGATGGTGTGTTGAAGGTCTTGGCTGGTTTCACACCAATAGTGTTCCAGATACACCACACCCACGCCCAATCTAAACAAACCTGACAGTAGCTTAGCAAACTAGTGTCAGCTGTGCTGATGGTGACGAAGAGCCACAGGGTTGTGGCCGCAAGACATCTGATGAGTCTGAGTGGGAGATAAAATGATATTATTGATGGAGACAGTGTATAAAGATGGACTTCTCCATCAGTCTGAGGGAGTTATATTCTGGCATTAAACAGCTCCAAGTCAGTAAAACATGCCTCTGACAAGTCACATGACCTCCAACTGACAAGGACTGGATGAGTCATGAAAAATGTTCATTGTTTTCCAGGAAGTGACAAATTATAAAATTAAACAAGAATATCGCCGAAAGTATTTTTCTAGCTATATTGTCATATCAGTGTTAATAACTCTAAAGGACAGAGACAAAAAGCTCTGAAGCAGCACTATTGATTTCTGGGGCACTTTGAGGGAGTAAATTTACATACAATAAATGCAGAACTGCTTAGATTTTCTTATAAATACATTTTCCATAATTATTATTCATTATAGTTATTGTTTTCCACCAAAATGATTAACAGTAGTTACTGAATGGCTGCTTGTGGGTCCCTGAAGGACTAGTGGTTCAGCTACAGCGCTCTCACCGCTTCGGCCCGGGTTCGATTCCCAGCAAGGGAACTGACCCCAGCCAGTACCAGTCCCGAGCCCGGATAAAACCGGGGAGGGTTGCTTCAGGAAGGGCATCCGGCGTAAAAAGCTGTGCCAAATCAAATATGCGGACCAGTGATGGCCTCAAGAGCCGAAAGAGGAACAACAACTGAATGGCTGCTTGATTGAAAGCAAATGGTTGGTCTCTGATAGTTTCCATCATGTAATTTTGGAGAGACAGATTAGACTTGGTCTGTGTGGGAGGAAATTGAGCCTATTTGCGTTTAAATGCTGCTGTGAGGTCTAGGTATAAGAACCCTGTTCGTTTACCTTTGTGACCAGCCAGTGGGCTGACATTTCTGTCCCTAAAGACTTCTGAACAGGCTTCTGAAGTCTGAAAAGCACTTCAAATGAGGGAAGGGGAGGAGGGACACATGTCCCACCTCCCCAGCCAGTCTGTGGGAATTGGGATTTGGGAATTGCTGGGAGCTTCGACTGTGCCGCTGTAATGAGATAAACACATTTCACAAGAGGTGTTCTGCGATGGTGCGCTTGTGCCCTGATTGAAAGTCTTCTGCATTCAGAAAAATATTCAAACCCTTTTTCTCATTTTGTTCCACTACAGCCTTACTCCAAAATGTATTCAATTCATTTTCATCAACAAAAAAAAAATACTCAGTCTTTTAAAAAGGTTAAAAAGTCTTTAGTCAGGGAGGTGAACAAAAACCTGAACTCCAGAGGACCTATTTGGAGATGAGAGAATCTGTCAGAAGAATTGACCAAATCAGCAGCATTACACCAATCAGGTGGAAGGAAAATACACAAAAACACATGATGGCTCACTTGAAGTTTGGGCCAAAAGGCAACCTAAAGGACTCTCAGGCTAAGACAAAGAAGAATCTTATGTTCTTAATAAACTCAATGGCAAGTGTTACATCTAAAGGAAACTTTAAGGGTGGTGGCAGCATCATGCTGTGAGGATGTTCTTCAGCAGCAGGTACTGGGAGGAACTTGCTCAGGACCTCAGATTGCAATCAATGTCCACCTTCCAACATGACAGTGACCCAAAACACACAGCCATGGGATGACTCTGTGAGCATCCTTGAATGATCCAGCCAGAGCCTGGATTTAGAGAGACCTGAGAAAAGTAGGTACAGCGATGCTCCCCATTGAATGTGACAGAGCTGCAGATGTTCTGCAGAGAAGAACCGGAGCAGATCCCTAAATCCAGGTGTGGTAAGTTTGTAGCATCAAACCAAAAAAAACTTGAGGCTGTAGAAGCTTCAAAATGGAAAATCGAGTAAAGGGTTGGAAAACTTGTGTTTTTAAATGTACAGATGTTTATGAAACATTTTACAATTTGGTGTATTGTTCACAGATTTTAGTGTAACATAATAAAATGAGGAAAAAGTATGTAATGCAAACTGTACATTTTCAGGATGAAAAAAGTCCCCATCCTTTAGAAGATGGTTCAGATGTTTGTTTGGATCTCTGAAGATGGATCTCTGAAGCAGCCATGAGCAAAGCAGTTTCATTACTTCAGGATGAATGGAATTTTCATGCAGGTCCCATTTATTTTAGGTTTAGTACTAGAAAGGATTTTTAGTTAGGCATTTGGAGCGACACCAGAAGAGAAAGCGAATCACAAATTACTGGTGAGTCTCAGCCCAAGTCTTGTCTCCTGCTGTCTATTTGCATTACAACTTCACGCTTACTTCCAGCTGCTTCTGGCTGTCTGGTCTTAAACATTTGTTCCTTTTGTATCTAAACAACTAGTTTTGACCATTTTTTTCCAACAGGAAGTTCAGCTACTCTACAAAAATATCCTGGTGCTTAAAGGTGAAGATGAAGGGAGATGAAGAAAAGCAGTTCTTTTACAGTTGCTTTGCTGTAAAGGTTTAATAACCTTGGAGGTCAAATGCAGTGTTTCACACAACATACAAACAAAACTACTAAAGAAAGAAAACTACTCAAGAAGCTGAAGTAAGAAGCATGATTGTCTTCAGTCTTATTAAACGTGGTTCAGCTTCAAGGCCTGAAGTCAGCTAAAAAAAGCAACTTTGGCTGGAGCTGTGTCCTTATCTCAATCATGTTGACTTTTCTCGAGGGAATATGAATGAAAGAAAAAGAAAAAGACAGCCAGATAAACACACACACACACACACACACACACACACACACACACACACACACACACACACACACACACACACACACAATTGCTCCAGGCAAGATGCAAAGATCACCAAGTGACCAAGGACAAAAGCATACATTTGTAGCTATTGAATAGTACTCGAGTTCATGTAAATATCAGGCTATAGTTTATGATGTTTTCAATAAAATATAGTTTTATATATAACCAAATATTGTGCCATGCATAAGTATTGACCCCCTTGAAGTTTTCCACAGTTCACTCCATTTGTAGTGAACTGAAATGTCCATGAGTATTCAAAAGGCCAAGTTGACCTTTTCAATAAGAGCTGACAAAAATCTGCGAAGCGAGTGCACACTCGTCAGACGTAGCGCTATTTGCCAAGCTTAATTTTGGTCTAATCAGACCAAAGAGTTTTTGAGGGGTGTAAATACTAATGCAAACACAAAATAAATTTTTTTATAATAATTTTGCAGATTAAATTGATTTTTTACGCTCCACTTTAATATGATGGAATATGATTTTGTGTAGATTCATGACATAAAGTACATTTCAGTTCAGTTCAAAATGTGGAAAAGTTCAAGGGGGGTGAATACTTTTGTACAGCATACTTTTTAAATTAGTGCCAAAGCCTGTAAGTTTGATGTGTTTTGTTCTAAAAGATAGAAAAATCTGCGGTTGAAAGATAAGAAATATTAAAGCTTCCTGTTCGTATTTTGAGATTGAACATCAACACAAATCAAAATCACGTATAAAAAAGTGAAGCCTGGAGGACAAAGTGGCATTGTGTTGTGCAGCCATCTGTGTGTGTGTGTATGTGTGTGTGTGTGTGTGTGTGTCGTCACAGATGGAGGAGCGTGGCTTTCATGACCGTGACCCACATGAGTATTCAAAAACCCAAGTTGACCTTTTAAACAAGAGCTGACAAAAATCTGCAAAGCGAGTGCACGCTCGTCACGCTGGGGAAATGTTCTCTCTGGGGTCTGGAGAGACTGCAGGCTCAGAGTGCACTTCTACACAGATCAATCTCTTTTTTAAGCTTTAAAGAGCCTTTTAACGTGGACCTGAATGATGCAATAAATTTAACAAGAATGTAATTGCTTTCTGGAGAAAGAGTTCAACTTCCTGTATTGGGGACCTTCAATAACGTTCGGGTTAATAGAGATGCACAGCATCATCAGCATACAAATTAATAACGGATAAGAGGCAGATTGGTATGTCCCATTTCCTGTTGGATGGATCTGAGGGGTTTATGCTACGTTCATGGCATATAGAAGGAAACCTAATAGCCCTATTCTGACTGGAAAAACAGGAAGTTTAGTTTACACTGCAGTTTATAATGAATTGGAGCTGATAAAAAAATTAGCACTCAGTTCTATTAAAGATTAGAGAAAGCTGTGCTAATGTTTGTGGACTATGCATACAACGCTTATTTAGTAAGAAAATTAAACACAACAGGGTGGTGTGATGCAGTGGAGTTACAATTACCAGCCTGAAGTCGATTATTTTCCTATAACAGCACATCACCAAGTGTTTTATTCCTCTTATACTAAAGTGATTTCCCAATAATTAATATATTTCTATTGATTAAATAACAATATGTACCACCTTTTTATCTGTACATTTAAGGCTCTGTGAAATGTTAGTTCCTGTTGTCACTTACATTATAGCAGCTATAAAAAGTTGTTCCCTCACCAGCCTCTCTTTATTCTCTCTCTTCAAGTTAATAAGACGAAAAAAACGCAAAAAACGCGGTTTCTTGTCATCTTAGTTAGAAACCGCAAAGAAGCGTAAACTCCTCTGTCCTGAAGATGTCGGAGAACTTAAAGTTACAGCTGAGACTGGAGACTCCTTCCATAAATGTTAAATTACAGAAAATTATTTTCTAAATCCATTTATGTGGAGCGTAGGCAGTACACTTCCCTGTGAATGAGCTGTTACTATAGAAATGATAACGTATTAGAACGAGCGCATTAATATAAACCTGTGAGTTGCAGCTGCACTACTGTCAGAGCTGCTGTTATAGAAAATTAATCAACACCTTCTGAATAATCAGAATTCTTCATCACTGTGGTGGAAATAGAAAAAAAAATGTTTTCTTTAAGTGAAGCCTTAGATGCTGTGCTAATTTAAGATTTCACTTTCACACAACTGTATTTATGTGTTTTTAAGACTGGCACTACATTACTGATGTCTTAGTCGTGGTTAAAAGCGTAACTTTAATTAGCAGCTTTCTTCAAAGTGCTGCTTCAAGGCCTCCAGCATCAAAAGACACCTTTTCTTGGAGGAATAAAGAATGAGGAATTCAGCATGAGTTATTTAAAAAAAAAAAAAAAAAAGAAAGAAAGAAAAGAAAAGAAAAAGCCTCCATGCCATGGATCTGCTAGTTCACCATGTACACATCTGGTAGATGTGGAGGTGCTTCGATGTGTCTTGGCTTTCCAGAGATTTTTTTTACTCTTTCTCGCGGAGGGAGTCTAATCTCATTTCAAACGAATTGAAACCAATCTTTTTGTAAAACATTTGCTTCCTCGAGCACGGATCTGTCAATAAATCAATTTAGAAACCAATTCAGCTGGCTTCCTGTAAGCCAGATAACGCCGTCTCTGCGTCTGAAACAGGTGCTGTTGCTGATCTTGTTGGGTTTGTATTATTTATACATATATGCATATTTATGAAAAATGTGGGGTTCTGAGATTATGAGACTCTCAATCTCAGGATTGTGGGTTTGAGCCCCATGTCGGGCGCCAAACCCGGCCACTGGGGTCACACGAGCTCATGCACTCTCAGTGCCAGTCCGAAGTCCGGATAAAATGGGAAGGTTGCGTCAGGAAGGCGTAAAACCTGTTCCAAATCAAATACGCGGCTCATAAACTGG